ACTTTCAGACTCACAGTCAGCAATAAACTCAATTGGAAACAAAGAGCCACCCAAAACACCTGAGATAAAAGAATGTAGAAAACTCTATGAGCTGCTGAGAGAGAAAAACAAAACAGTGGTCCTACAATGGATTCCTGGTCACTGTGGCATTGAAGGCAATGAGCTTACTGACACACTTGCTAAGAAGGAGACAACGATTTTGCAATGCATGGACCGTCCGATGTCTTTCCACACAATGAAGGCCTTAATTAGGAGAGAATTCCATACCTCAAGGTTCAACGAAATTAAAGCTCGAACAAAGGAGAAACATTTGACAGTGGCACACTCCGACATAGCGGACTGGCCAAGAATCGAAGCCGTTGGTGAGTTTAGACTACGTACCGGACACGATTGCTTGGCAAAACACCTTTACAGATTGGGAGTATACACTCAACCTACATGCCCTCTATGTAACCTACAGGAGGAAATGGAGAAGACCCACCTGATTCGGTGTCCAGCCCTAAAGAAGAGGACAGAAAGCCAAATATACTGGGAAGCAAGAAGACAGCTAATGAATTGCTATTAATTAACTGCTATAAATGTACCCCCCCCCCTCTTGGGGGAAGCTGAAGTCAAAGATTAAGGGCTAATGATAAATATCATAAACCCTGCCATTTGAAATAAATAAATAAATATTTCAGGCATTTGTTACATCGTGTTTGGCATGCCAGTTTTGTAAGGATAATTGTCATGTCTCAGACTATTTGGAAGCCATGCCTCAGCGACCCATAGTACTTTTGACGTTATCAAGAAACCACGTAATAGAAATGAAAAATTTTCGAGCTTTCTAAACCTAAATCTATATAATATACCACTAAAATTATTCATGCGCTAATCATGCCAGTATCGTTTGAAAACGGAACGTCAATAATCTTTACAAAATCTATTAGCACAACGGCTTTCATTTCAAGATGTACTTGATGTCAGTTTATGATAATTGATATGCTACACTTTATTTTTAAACTAAAATTGCAAAACATCCCCCCTCACCCCACCTCGTACTGTGTCATTCTTTTGGGTGCATCTCATCAAAATCTAATCTTCACAAGTGTAAAAGTATTTCCAGATCTGAACCAACTTATTTCCTTTATGTTGGTAAAATGATTATCAATTGATTTTGAAAACATAAAAATTAGCACATCTACTTCCAGAAAGTCATCCTGTCCTATTTAAATGTCAATTCGCCACTAGTTCACTTATCGTCTCATTTTTCAAATTGACATATTCCACTCAGATCCTATTAACTGCAAGATTTAGTGCGTTCTATTAACTGATAAATTCAAAATGGCCATTATTTCTCATTTAATTGATATTGGAAATTAGAAGGAGAACATCTCTGTTTATAAAACTTAAAGGCATAGCTAACAAATGAGCTTGACAGCACTTCTACGGTAAGATTTTTCCATATTCCATTACACACCGCTTCCTTACCTCTCTGTGTGATTGACAACTGAATTGTGTGGTCTGCCAAGTAGACTATTCCAGATTAGAGCAAAAATCTTTTCCACAATGTTAAAAAATGAGGATGTAGTTGATTGTTTTGATCAAGTATTCTTTGTTGAAAGGTGGGAAGGGGGCTTGCAACTGCAAGAAATCAACATTTGGTAATTAAGTACGAAGTGAGCGAGAACAGCATTCGTTGGTTAAGGTGTTGGGGGGGGGGGGGGTGGGGAGGAAGAAGGGGAATCGAGGCTGATGTCGTATGTAAATGCCGTTTCTCTTTCAAATGGTGAGGTATTGATTAACTTGATGGGATTGTTAAGATTGATGTGAGGTTGAACTCTAATTGTTGCTTCCCGAATCTTTGTTGAAGATATAAAGCTATGCAAGTTAAGTGCAAACGAGGTATTAAAGTGAAACAAATAGCTCAATCACACGTCACAACATCATCGACATATACCTTCCAGAAACCCTCCCTCTAGGTTCAGCACGGTTCACTTTATAACAACAGATCCAGAGTAGCTGCACGTTAATTACCTTATGACAAAAATTCCCATAAAACCTGATCCTAATGAGTCCACAGTGCTTAAATAAATGTGCCGACTTTAACTCCCTCCCAAATTTAAATTGATTACACTTTCATATTCAGTGAAAGAGGATAACACAGTCATTTCATTAGCTTGCCAATGTGCAATAACCGATGACAATCTCAACATATCTTGGTGTATCATTCGCCTGCTGCTCTGATAAAATACACTCATTTCCCCTCTTACATCTAGTGCACAGTTCCCTAGATCTACAACCACGATTAAGATTTCTGCTCAAACTATAAAAAACCGGTAGCCAATATGGCCTTTCTGCACCTCCTTTCAGAAGTATCAATTCAAAAAATACTTTGGGCAGTAAAATACTATCGAAATGACAATTACTCGACTGGGATAACGAGCGAGAATGGAAGGGAATTGAATAAGTATATCAAAGCACAGGTGGGATTGGTAGGTAAGGTAGTCATTTCTTCCTTTTAGCGCCAAAAATTGCTTTCATGCTGAAATTGAGGATGAGACACATGTAACAGACGTCAAAGCTAGGAAAGTGCCAAGATGTAAGTCTTACCCCAAAGTTCCGACCAGAAGACCAGCCCCAGCAGCAATTAGAGCCGGTAACCAATCATTTCCCTCGTTATGTACGTTTGGTGGGGGAGGTCCAGGTTGACCACGGGGCTCAAAATTTCTCGGAAAGAATCCATTATTCTCAAACCAATTATTTTCATCATTTTGTACGTTTTGCTGGCGAAATTCAGGATGATTACAGAGTTCAAAATTTGTCGGAAAGAATTCATTAGAAGGTTTAGGTTTATTCGAAGCCTTTTAAATACGATAATAAGTATCTAGACTAGAATTCCAGCACTTACCTCACATGTTTCGTCAAGAATTTGTTCGAGCTTAAGGTTACGTATGAATTCATTAAGACGGAAAGGTTTTTTGCATAAAGGACAGAAGGGCTCTGTTTTAATGATACAATCAAAACAAAAGCAATGCTGACAAGGGAGCATTATTGGATCATTGTAATCGTCCAAACAAATTGCGCATTGTAATGTGGACATCGCCATACTTAAATAAGATTTAAATGAGGCCGATTGTGCTAAAAAGAAGATACACAAGACAAATCATTTCAATTCAATATTCATTGCAATTAAATGTTATATACAGTGGATAAAAGTGTCAAATGTTAAAATCAAGTACAAATAATATGACAACCTTACCACGAATATCGACAAATAATAAACGCAATGCCCTCCAAAGTTTTATTTACTATGCCAAGGTCAAAAATTATGTTTCAACTGATTTAAATTAATTTGTAGATCATTTGATTTGATTTATTTTGTTAAGCTATTACAATATTTATCTTTTAAAATGGCATCTGAATAAATGGTACGGATGAAATAAATGTTTACATTTTATCAGCATCAACATATATTCAATTTAGATTAACTTTGACTTATTTATGCATTTTTAAAATGTACCTGGTAATCATATTGCGTTAAAAGCAATTAAGTGTAAATTGATAAAAATGTGTGTGCTAATTTGGTTCTATATAAATTTTGAATGGCCTTTCAAAATATTCCTCTTAGAGTTGTTTCTAATGCATTTGCTGATGTATTTCTCCATATAAAATCATCACTCATGGCTCCTTCATGTATTGCGTTTTATATGTCTATATTTTCCGTTTTTCATTCTTAATATGTGTTTTTTTTATTAAGACTTTAATCTTCATTGCTTATTTTTCAAGCAGGAAGAAAAGATTCATGCTTAAATCGTTGAATCTGAGATGATTTTTTGGTAATAAGCCTAAGAACTATGCATCTGAATTTTGTGAAATATTATGATAGCCGTATACAGAGAGGTGTCGAAGGAAAATAGGAAGAAGTGGGAGTTTAAGTAACCTTGAATAAAATGGTGAATTGTACGATTTTGACCTAATTTGGTTCAACCCTTTGCATGGCCAACAAACAATGCCAGTCTGTTTCAACATGAAGACCGCGTCAACTAGAGTGAGATACTTCCGTCCTCTTTACGAAGTGAGGAGTCGTTGATGTTGGAATGAAATTGATGAGGCCAATTTGAATAAACTTGGAATTTTCTATTTTGAAACATTTTATTTCAAAATGCATGAGGAGTTTACTGAATAAAAGAAAGCTTTTACAGCATTTACACTAACGTATGAGATCAGGCTTTCAAATACGCAGTAATATGATCAAATATTAACTCGTAGACAATGTTACCTATTTCAGTAATTTTTTGGCAGGAAATAAACAATGTGCTTTTAAAGAGCAATGAAATCCATCCAGATAAGAAACTTTATATGGATTTTTCATTAATCTGATTCATTTCTTTTTCCATTTTGTCTTTACAAAGGGGATCACATTTCCGGGGGAAATGAAATCGGAGAAGGGGAAATATTGAGTAAAGTTTGTGGTGTTCGAATGAGGAGCGATTAGAAGTGGAAGGGGGGGGGGGGAGGACTCACTTCATAGAAGACTAAAATTGAAGGAGTTATTTCCAACTCTTAAGATCACACAAAACTGCCTCGAATTTCAGGGCTCAGTGTTTTTGAATTAGTAATGAAATTGAGTCGTTTTTCGGGAGCTGCTAATGGAGGTGGGACCATTCTTTGATTCAGAGATCGACCCCTCATCGTTGTTTGACTGTTTGGGGAGAATGTCACTGGAGGATAATCCGTAGACGATATGTTGTCAAGACTTGAGTCGATTGAGAAACTTCGGAAGGGAGGTCTAAATATGGTGGGAGCCAGTCTTTCATGATGACCTGGGGTCATGAATTGTCCAGTTACAGTTGCTGGTGAGTTAAGTGGAAACATTTCTCTCTTTGAATGCCGATTTTCAAATGTGAGTGGGGTGTTTGATTCAGGCATATGGATTATGTATTGTGAGGATACTGTTGCAATTCCCGCACTATCATTCACTAAGTGCTGATAGTTGGATGCGGGATCATCTTGAGTCAGAGGAGCACTAAATTCCGAAATGGAATTATTCCTTTCTCTTCCTGATTTTCTCTTATTGGTATCCATTCGAATAAGTCCAACACCTGAAATCCACACAAACTTTACTTTTAACGAGGTTTAAGAGATATTCAATCTGCTTAAATAGGGCACATATCACTTACTATCTTTGGGATCGCTAGTATCGATGAGATCACTGGTTTTGGAAAGGAGTGAACTATTATTAGAGGACATGCATGGAGCGCCACTTCCAGTGTACTGATAATCAAGACGTTGGATTGCGTTCTTCTTGGGCATGACAGGTGACATTGCAGTCTGGTAGTTGGAATCGCCATCACCACCAGTTACGCGGTAATTTCGGAAAACCACGGTGGACGGAGCAAAGGCTGGTGACTGAGTGACTTGGGCAAATCGTGAGGGACTCTTCAGATTGCCGGATTTGAGGGTGGTTTGTTGATTGGATATGCTAGTGTTGACATTCACTGCTGGACTACGGAGGTATAGCTGCTGTTGCTGTTGCTGTTGTTGTTGACGAGAATGCAATATTCTTGGAGATACCATTCCAGGATAGGCGAAAGCGACAGGGGAATGCATTGTGGACGTTGCGTTTACCCATGGGGCAGTAACCACCTATAGATCATTTTCAAAGTCAACTAAATGAATGACCTTCGCGGTTAATGAAAATGAATAATTGGCGAAATTGACAGCGAATTGTCCTTTTGCGCAGGCCAAACTTAACCTTTTAATATTTATGAGTTGTTTTTCGCCAAGACGTTAGATCTAATAGAGTCAACAAATAGCGAAATTACTTAGCCCTATCCTAATTTAGACTTTGGATCAGAGAACTATAATCGTTTGCTGTTTTAAAATTATGAAAAGCACAGAAACAGACATCGTACCATCCTGTTGGTAAAGTCTTTTCTATGAGATAAAAAACAATGAATCTTCTTTCAGGAAAAAACTCTTTTTTTGTAAGGCAAAAACAGAAAATATTCACGATTACGGTACTGAGACTACGACTTACTTCGGTGAACATAGCTTTCCTGGGAATTGCGTCTGTTGTGGAATCGAGATGAAGAGCTTTATTGCCTACAAAATATGCAGCAAATAAGAAAATGAATATTTGTATGCACAAACTAATAGTAAGTAAAACTTATTCTTCATTGATTTTTTAATGAACTTTTTACAATTCTATTGTGCAAATGAATGGGTATTTATAAGTAACTTGAGGGATTGGCGAGAAACTTACCTTCACATGATGCACCCTGGGCAACGTATAGCCATACGGCAAAAAATTCAATAAACTGGCAGTTGATTTCTCACTTCAAACTACCATGACCCCACTGTATGTCATATTCGACCCCTTCCACAGTACTCATCTAGCCCTTTCTCTGCCTTTGTGCCTGTCTGTCTCTTTTACATCTGTGAATCACTCTTCTGTTCTCCCTCTCAACTTGTTTATGACCTTGATGCTCCTCCTCCTGTCAAGCCCGAAATCAACTAAAGGACTAATGATAACTATCACAAAGTCTGCCATTCGATATAAATGAATAAGTATTTTATTTTATTACTTACCACACCAATTTAGCTATTTACATAATTAATTTAGGTGTCAGCATTGTCCGTAAAATGAGAATTATGGGTTAATTTCACTTACTGCAAATAATTGAAACATCAATTCCTTTTTGGCCAAAAATAAACACATTAGTCTCCACGTACTTTGCAATTAATTTACGTCAAATTTACAACACAATTTTAATGTTTTAATCCTAAAGCTGAGCTTAGTTTTAAGCTCATATAGAGTTTTGCTTATATTAATCGAAGGAAATAAATTTAGATTTTAAAAAAAACGAAACGCATTCAT